GATATGCTCTATTTCATTTTTATTCAATTCACGGAATTAAAAATTCATGCATGAATTGCTATTTGATGTATGGAATATTTATAAATATGATGTTTCATTTCCTAGCTTGTAAAGATTTTCTGACTTTCTGTTACTGATTTTTAGACTGATTTCCTTATAGTCAGAGAAATGTTAAATAATTTTAATTCTTTTAACTTTTCAAGATTTACTTTATGGTCCAGGATGTGACTTAATTTGGTACATCATCCTCAAACACTTGAAAATAACATACATAATGTTGTTGTTAGCTGAGGTTCTCTGTAATTGCTCATTAGATCCCACTGGTTGATGATGTTGAGTTACTCTATATCCTTGATGATTTTCTAATTATTCTATAAATTTGAGGGAAAGTACCAGTAAAACTTCTGACTATACTTATGTATTTGTCTATTTACCCTTTTAGTTCTATCTGTTTTTGTTTCTCATTTTGCAGCTCTATTTTTTGGTAATATACAGTTAGAATTACCATATCTTCTTGGGAACTGGTCCCTTTTATCACTATATGTCCCCCTCTGTCTCTGGTAATTTTCTTTGCATTGAGGTCTACTTTATCTGATGTAAATATAGTTACTATTGCTTTCTTTGAATAATGTTTGCATGAAAACTCTCTTTTCATTCTTCCATTTTTAGCCTGCCTATATCACCTATACCATTATGTTTGCAGTGAACTTCTTATAGACAATATGTATCTGGATTACGTTTTGTAATCCACCCTAACAACATATTTTAACTGGCGTAGACTATTTACATTTAATGTGATTTTTGATATGTTAGGGCTTAAGTACATTATTTAATCTTTTTCTTTTCTGTTACTTATCTTTTTTCTTTCTCTGTTTTCTTTTCATTGCATTTCTATGGGGTTTTAAAATGATAACATTTTAATTTCTCTATAGTGCTTTTAAGTGTATCTCATTATATAACAAGTTAGGGGTTGTTGTCAGATTCACATTTTATCTATATAACTTATCATAGTTACCTAGTGCTATTATTTTTCCAGTTTATGTGAGGTGTAGACACCTCACCTCCCTTTTTACATCCTCTCAACCCTCCTAGTTCAATATAATTGCCTTACATATTTCATATGTCCATATATGAAATCATGTCAGATTTTAAAATCACATCAGAAAGTATTTTTTTCTTCTATCATCAAACATAATTTAGAAAACTAAAGATTTACTCATATGTTTGCTCATCTTGTTTTTTCTTTTCCTTCCTTATGCTCCAAGTTCCTGTTTTGTATTGTTTCCTTTCCATTTAGAGAACTTCCTTTAGCCATTCATTTAAGATGTCTAGTAGTGGCAAACAATCTTAATTTTCATTCATCTAATAATTTTTAAAAATTTATTTCCAATTTCTGAAGAATATTTTTCTGGACACAGGATCATTAGACAGATTTTTGTTTTTTCCATTACTCAAAAGTATTATGTAACTTCCTTCTTGCCTTCATGGTTTCTGGTGAGAAATACACTGCCATTCACATTCTCTGCTATAGGTAAGTACTTGCTTATCTCTTGTTGCTTTCAAGACTTTTCTTTTGTCTTCAGTTTTCAGAAGCTTGAATATGATGTGTCTTGGTGTGGAGTTATTTGGATTAATCCCATTTGGAGATCACCCAGTATTTTAAATCTATAGGTTGATGTTCTTTGTCAAATCAGGAATGTTTTCAACTAATATTCTTGGAGTGTTTTTTAAGGGTGCTTATTTCTCTTTTTCCAGGACTCAGATGACACACAGATGTTAGATATTTTGTTATGGTCCCACAGTCCATGAGGTTCTGTTTTGGCTTTGCTTTTGCTGGTTTATTGAGGCTATAATTTTTGTGTTGTTCAGATTGGGCATTTTCTATTTGTCAATCTTCTAGGTCATTGATTCTTTTCCTCTGTTCTCTCTATTCTGCTGTTGAGCCTATACATTGAGTCTTTCATATGGTTATTTTTCAGTATTCTTTATATCTTCTGTTTCTTTGCTTAGATTTTCTATTTCATTGATAAGACTTTCTGCATTCTCATCTGTTTCATGTGTGTTTGTGACTGCTCATTTTATTATGTTATATGATGGCTGTTCCAAAACCTTTGTCCTATAATTCTAATATCTCTGACATCTATGTGTTGGTAACTACTGACTGTCATTTCTTTTTTAGTTTAAGAAACCTGTTTCTTGGTACAAAGAGTGATTTTCATTTTATGAAATACTGGAAATGATTTAAATTTTCTGCTTTAGGTGGCTTCATCTGATGCAATTCCAGTATGAGAGTGAGGGTGGAAATGCACTGCTCCCTTATTGCCTGGTAAGTATAGAGGCTCAGCATTCTAATTTGGCAGGGCTGAATGTTCTCACTCCTCATATGGTCCTCACCATCACTATGGAAGAAGGAGGACTATTAATACAACATGATACTGTTAATAAAGTAGTGAATTCCAGTCTTGTGACATACTAAAAAAGGTTTCATCTTTCAAATTCTCAATTTCAAAGAAGTACTAAAAAGATAAAATACAATGAACAGATAGAGTAAAGGCCCCAATAAGAGCAGATGAACTCTAGAGGAGGCCACAGTTGTGGGAGTAATATAGCATGTTGAGATAAATGTAGCAATGGGAATTAAGAGTCTTAGATTTTAGTCCTGATTCCATTGACTACTTAGTTTTGTAACTTTGGAAAACTGACTTCAACATCTCTGATCTTGGTTTTTTAAAATAGAAGGAGATTTGTATGAGATAGGCCATAACTTATTTCCCATTTTAGCACTCTATGATAAACTATTTAAAATAAGAATTACATAAGATGGCATATCAAAAATTCTACATACATATAACATCAGTGTTATAAATATAGTCATCATTATAATTAGCACTGATAAAACCTCATAGTTAAGATAGTGCAGGTATAACAAATTTTTAAGAAAACATGTCATTTTTCAGCTCATGAAGGTGATGCCAACTTATAGTTGGGAGATTTTCTGGGAACTTTTCAAAGCCAAGACTTCCTCTACCTGCAGCAGAACAACTTGGTATACTTGATAAATACAGATTTCCTGAGCTTCAGCCCCAATTGATAAGAGTTTTTAAAAGGCATCCCGTATGATTTTTATGCACATTAATGATTGTGAACCACTGCTTAGGCTTTAGGAAATTATTTTCAGTCTTTAAGAGAAAATAGAGTAGATATGCTACATCCAAAGAGAACAATCAATTACAGACAGTTAGGATGAAGAAGAAATGGGGTCTATGCTTTTAAGCTGGCAAGCTTATATTTTAAATATTAATTTAACAAATTTGGATAGAGATCAAAGAATATAAAACAAGTGGCACAAATCTATAAGAAGGCTAATATTTATAACGAACTCTGACTCTGAAACATTTCAAAATTTATTTCTATGGGTAAGGCAGAAAGAAGAATAACTGAGTTTACTGCTTTATGTCGGTGGTAAAAGGTTATAAATTATGTATAGAAGATATTCAACAAATATCAACTTCAATCTTCTCAGTCATAGAGAAAAGAATCTGTAAGCAATCATGGTTAAAAAGCACTTGAAATATGTAAATTATATGTAAATTTTATTTATTCATTCAACAGAAGTTCATATAAAATAAAATTCAACATCAATTTGAGCTATATAAAATGTCTTATTGTGCGCAAAATATTGTCTTAGATTGCTAAGCATCTTTTTCTGATGAAATGTTCCATAATGTGCACCAAATTCACAAAAGGTATTATGATGTCTAGTAGCTTAGCACATTAGCTTTCCTTTCTAGAGAACTACAGTTTAAAAAATAAAAATGATAACTTGTTCTATGTTTTGTAAGTTTTCAACGCGATCTTTTTCTTAAGGAATGCTTCATTGAGCACCTATTGTCCACTTGATGTAGGAGTCACATGAAAAAATAAAAAGGTATTTGTTCTCAAGAAGCTCAATACTGAAGCTAGATAAACAAATGACATAATAGCGATAATAATATTTGCTATCTATTTTTAACAGCAAGATAAATTAGCAAATAGATGAATTGTTTTATTTCCTACCTAAACCAATAAAATTGTTGAGGTTACATGTTTTTCCTTCACTGCAGCCATCAATGGGTTTTCCTTAAGATTTCAGATGATTAAAGAACAGCTACAGGATTTAACATAGAATTTCATACATATAATTCCATTAACTTTCATTATATTAAGTTTTTTGTTTTGTTTTGTTTTTTCTTTTCTTGAGACAGTCTCACTCTGCCGCCAGGCTGGAGTTCAGTGGTGTGATCTCGGCTCACTGCAACCTCCACCTCCCAGGTTCAAGTGATTCTCCTGCCTCAGCCTCCCCAGTAGCTGGGACCACTGGCACGCGCCACCACACCCAGCTAATTTTTGTATTTTTAGTAGAGACGGAGTTTCACCATTTTGGTCAGGATGGTCTCGATCTCTTGACCTCATGATCCCACCACCTCGGCCTCCCGAAGTGCCGGGATTACAGGTGTGAGCCACCGTGCCTGGCCTAAGAGTTTTATATAATGAACATAAGGAACTACATTTTCAATGTATTGGAAAATCTTTTAAGGAACCATACAGATTATACTTCCTGGAGTTAAGAATATTTATTTTTATAAAATCCATCAGATTCTGCACATGTGGGGGAAACACACTTTTGCTCACCATTACTCTTATATTATGTGCATATTACTAAATCCTATTTGAGTTTAAAACTAAAATAGATTAAATTATTATAAAATAAATAAATGCATAACATAAGCAGGCATGACATTCTAATAAAATAAATTTGCATGTGAGTTTATGCTCATGAACATGAGAATTTAGTCATGGATGACATCCTGAAGCATATTCTCATGACAAAATAAATCTATTAGTACAGCTAAGTATTTACAGACATTATTCATTTTCAAATACTTTACTAATGCCAGAAACTAGACAATTCCTGGCTTGTAAAACAGAACAAACCACCCTAAAACATCTGGGATACTTACACACTTTTCGCTGTCAAATACATAGCACAAATGTTTATTTGACTCAGAATCTTTGCATATGAAAGTGAATATCCTCTTGTCAGTTTTATCATCTGCACAAAAAGATATTCTATGAAGCTGGCAATTGTGTTGAACTTCCTGTAAACACAGATGGAAATAAACATAGTTGATGGGATTCTTTTTTCATTTTCTAAAATACTCATTTGTGTTAATAACATATGACTTTAAAAGTAGAACAATCATCTGTCAATCTTTGATTTTATAATTATGTATACTCCAACCTAAAACAAAGGCATAATGGATACAGATAGACCTCCTGATTCAGGATGAAACTAAGATATGCATTTCAATAGTGCTTAGCAAAACACAAGCATAGTACAAAATGATCAAAGATTTATGGCCTATCTGAGCTACAATAGCTCTTGAGAAATCATACACTTTAAACTTTGCATATTTACAGAGGAGAACAATGAGACCCAGAAAGAATAAGACACCAGCACAGTTTTACAGAATTACCAGAACTCTTTTAAACCAGAGGATTCTCATTTTATCTCACTGCTATTTACTAGCATTATAATTTAGAACACAGCCTGGATACAATTTCGTGTGAAACACACTATAATTTCATCCTTAGTAATCTTATTAAATTTTATTTTATATAATTTCATGGTTACTCATACACTCTTGAACCTTTTCTGTCTAGGAAGCTCATCTTTCGAACTTATGTAGCATTTTTCATGAAGCAGTGAATGAATGGTATACATATCCAGACTCCATATCATGAAATCAAATCTATTCATCAGTAGAAGGCAAATACTGCAACCAGATAGATATAGTGGCAGTATATATTTACACATGCACACACACAGACACACACATACATTAAATTATAAAACTTATAAAATAGCAGGCATATACATCATTAAAATAGAAATATTTATATAAAATAAATGTGTTACTAAAATTACTATTATTTAGTCAAAAGATGGGGCATTTGACACTTTTATATTCATATAGATCATCCATATTAATTATTCATTCTTCACAGTCTTCTGAAACATGTTGGAGGTAGAAAAGAAATTCAATGCTTTTGATTATGACAAATAGAAAAATCAACTATTCCTTTTTCTAGTGTAGTCATAAATATATTTTCCTAAGACACATTGTAACACTAGAAATATCAATCAGAAACTCAGTTCATCAACATTACTGAGTGGGTGTTTTATAAGATTGGAGATGGAAGCAACTATAGTTTCATCTAAGGAAGGCTGGCTGAATATCCCCCAAAAAAGCTTTATTTTAAGGTTGTAACTAGAAGAGTTTCTCTAAAGGTGGCTTCAGACAACCTGTAGCACAAATACCTGGGGTGCTTGCTATAAAAATTTTCACTGTTTTAACCTCAGTTGAATCAAAACCTCAGAGATTTTGGTCAAGTTAAGAATCATTGATATGAAAAACTTAAACTTCTCAGTTCAGAGTTTGATGTGTCAGCTTGCTGAGATTTGCTCTAGTACTCTGATTCAAATAACTGCTCAGCAGACTGAAAATGAATATATAAAATGAGATATAAAGGCTGGGCGCGGTGGCTCACGCCTGTAATCTCAGCTCTTTGGGAGGCCGACGCGGGTGGATCACGAGGACAGGAGATCGAGACCATCCTGGCTAACACGGTGAAACCCTGTCTCTACTAAAAATACAAAAAAAATTAGCTGGGCGTGGTGACAGGCGCCTGTAGTCCCAGCTACTTGGGAGGCTGAGGCAGAATGGCTTGAACCCGGGAGGTGGAGCTTGCAGTGAGCCGAGATGGCACCACTGCACTCTAGCCTAGGCAACAGAGCGAGACTCCATCAAAAAAAAAAAAAGAAAAGAAGAAAAAAAAAAGAGATATACAAATGAAAAAAAAAAAAAAAAGAAAAAAAAAAAAAAGAGATATACAAATGAATGCTAAGAGAACTGTCTAGAGCAATGCATTCTTTCCCTGCATACAATGGTAAACCAAATGGTAAGCCAATAAAGAGTTGCTTGGTAAGTATGAAAATTAAAATGAGGAAGTATATTGTATGATCGTAATACTCACTGGCATTATTAGATAGCCTAATTTATCTGTTTAAAAGCAGAGGTAATCAATTCTAAGAAGAGGTGCTTGATTTACTTAGCTTTTAATGGTGTCATCTTTCCTTTCTTATACATAGAGCATTGATGGACAATGACCATATTTGTTTAAGACTATCTTCTTTCTGTATTTTGCCTATTAGAACAGTTTCCTTTCTTACTGACATTGTTTTGTTTTAATGACAATATAGTCAATGAAATAACAGCCCTCTGTTACACTATAGCTCCCAAATACTCACAGGAGGTCTACACCAGCTTATTAATTGTAAAAGCATGTTAATGATAAATAAAGAGAAAATATTACTGCTAAACACTATAGGAAAAAAATTCATTTCTCCATAGATGCAAGAAATTATGAGTAACATGCAAAACACAACATTCACTTAGCTGGTGCTGAAATCTACATAGTCTCTCATTTACTTACCCAACCAGTATGATCATAGAAAGTGGTTATGACCAGTGGTGAATCATCCTAATCTTTGCTTGGATTAGCAAAGGTATCTTCCTAAAACAGTCTAGGGAGCTGAAACCTGTAATTTCATTATTTTTATCAGTTATTTTATTACTGTTGTGATGGACCACTACGAATTTGAAATGTAGCAATAATTTTTGGTAAGACAGGATAAAGAGACCCAGGAACACAATAACCATAGTGAAAAACACTAGGCTTTCATATTAATGATATTTTATTGGAGATGGAACAAAAAATCAGTAGATGTTTTTATCCCCAATTAATCTATCTACACCGCCTGTTTCTAGCACTCTATAACCTTCATTTGGAGGACAAGTGAGAAAAGCAGAAAAGAAAAGGACTCAGAAAGAAAGATAGAGGAGCCAATTGTTATTGAGATTGCTTTCACTTAATTTTCACTTTCCATTTTCATTCATCCAAGTGAAAAAAAAATAAAGATTCTATTCTGTATAAAGATAGTCCATGTTAGATTAATAATATATTTAAAAATCCTGTCTCATAGCTGTATGTTTAACTATAAATAAATTTATTTTAGAAGTATCACATTTGTTTTTTCTAAATATCAACATATATCTAAAATGAAATGATTGATTTTTTTCTGTTTCACTTATATATATGTCCTTGAATAGTAGTTCCTAAATGCATGTCCATGAATGCCTATGAATAGGTTGTATCCGAGAACTGAGGATTTTCTCTTTCTCTCTCTCTCACTACACACACACACACACACACACACACACACACACACACACACACAGAGCAATTGGCATTCTTAGGAATGTCTTGGGGACACTGGTGCTTTGTAAATCCCTTTTTTAGATTTCCTACATTTTTAATGCATTCAAGACATGGTATTTTATATATATGGGTAAATAGTCATATACTCTATATTCATATGTAACAGGGTAAATAGTCACTTTTTCTACATTAATATGCAATATAATTGAATGTATAAAATATCTCAAGGATTTTTAAACTCCAAGATTGCTCTCCAGGTTTGGTAGGGATTAAAATAGAGATGCTTCTTTTTCCTTAAGAGTTTTAAAAACTCACTTCTGGGAATAGAATTCTAACAGGGCTCTTAAAAATTAGTTATCAGTGCTAAATGCATACCTCAGAAATTTAGAAAGATCACTAGTTAGCAATCGAATATCACACCTAGGGGAACTAGAAGAACAAATATCAACTAACCCCAAAGCTAGCAGGAGAAACAACTAAAATCTGAGTGGAACTGAATGAAATTGATATAAAAAAATCCATAAAACAATAAACAAACCCAAAAGTTAGTTCTTTGAAAGGATCAACAAGATCACTAGACCGCTAGCTACAAGAACAAAGGCTAAAGGAGAGAAAAGCCAAAGAAGTACAATGAGAAACAACAAAGGTGGTATTACAACTGATCCCACAGAAATATAAAAGATCCTCAGAGACTATTACGAACACCTTGAAGCTCACAAACTAGAAAATCTAGAGGAAACTGATAAATTTCTAGAAATGCATAACCTCCCAACATTGAATCAGCAAGAAACTGAAATCTTGAACAGAACAATATCAAGTTCTGAAACTGAATCAGTAATAAAAAATCTGTCAACCAAACAAAGCCCCAGAGCAGATAGATTCGCAGCCAAATTCTACTATACCTACAAAAGAAGAGTTGGTACCAATTCTACTGTAACTATTCCCAAAAAACTGAGGAGAAGGAACTTCTCTCTAACTCATTCGATGAAACCAGCATAATTCAGATACCAAAACATGGCAAAGATACAGTGAAAAAAGAAAACTATAGGCCAATATTCCAGATGCACAGAGATGCAAAAATTCTCAACAGAATACTTGCAAGCTGAATTCCACAGTACATTAAAAAAATAATTCAAAACAACCAAGAAGGCTTTATTCCTGGGATGCAAGGTTGGTGCAACATATGAAAATCAATAAATACAATTCAACATAAAAACAGAATTAAGAACAAAAACTATATGATCATATAAACAGAAGTGGAAAAAGCCTTCAAAAAAATCCAGCATTCCTTCATGATAAAAATCCCTGCACAAACTAGGCACTGAAGGAATATACTTCAAAATAGTAACAGCCATCTATGACAAACCCACAGCCAACATCATACTGAACCGGCAAAAGCTGGAACATTCCCCTTGACAACTGGAACAAGACAAGGATGCCCACTCTCACTACTCCTATTCCACATAGTACTCAAAGTCCTTGCCAGAGGAATCAGGCAATAGAAAAAAAGAGAAGGCTTCAAAATAGAAAAATAATAAGTCAAACTATCCCTCTTAACTTACAATATGTAATATGATTACCTAGAAGATCCTAAAGATTCCACCAAGAGGCTCCTGCAACTGACAGTAAACAACTTCAGTAAAGTTTCAGGATATAAAATCAATGTACAGAAATCAGTAGCATTTCTGTACACCAAATAACATTAGAGTTGAGAGACAAATCAATAATGCAATCCTATTTACAACAGTCAACAAAAAAAAAAAAAATACCTAGTAATACATCTAACCAAAGAGGTGAAAGATTTCTACCAAGAAGA